CCTTATAAAAGCAAACAATAGCAGACATTCAGTCAGTATATGTCTGACTACTGTACAGATCCTAACCTCTAGCCTCTGGACAGTGAATGTTTTTTTTCTATAAAATTAAGTAACATTGTGTTGAATGCAGCTATTCAGGAAGTGTCAATGAATCTAGTTCACTCACAGTATCCAACATTGTCTACAGAGTTCTACATTTGAATGACTTCAGCTGCAGATAGTATAGATAGAGATAAAGCATTGACTTTAATAAATGAATACCTTGTGTATCGTATAACATGTTATTATGACACACAATTGACGTTTTCTCAAAACATATGCTCAAGTATGATGAGTTCTCACCTGAATTTGACCAAAAGCTCAAATTCACTGCTCTTCGCCCCAAAACGTTTCAGCAAAACGTTGGTATAATGTTGGTAATAATAAACTTTAGTTATAATACTAACAATAATTTATTTAGAATAGCATATTTAGAAAAGATTGCAACAAACAGTTTGGTGCAAACTGGAAGTTAACTATTTTTTTCGCTGAACCTGTATGGCCCAGTCTATTCATCATTTGTCAAAGGTAATATGCTGCCAATTGTTGTCCCAAATTTCAATTTGACTTGAAAAATATGAGATTATTAAATTAAACAACCTTGAACACTATGAAGGATGAAGTTTATTATTACTAGCATTACACTAAACTTTTGCAGAGCCTTTTGGAGCAAGTGGTGGAGGGAACTTGATGCAACTCCTCTACTGAGTGACTGATTCTTACTGCTGCAGTGTGGATATATTTTTGTTAATTATTTGATGGTCATAATTTATTCTTTGTCTTTGTAAAGTGACACTGAGTGTTCGAAAGGAACTAAAACCATGATATGTTATATGGTGAAACCATCAAGAATCATTGTGATTAATGTCCAACACTCTTAGAAAAAAGGTACCAAACTGTCATGGGGTATTAATATGTATTAATATTAAGTATTAATATGTACTTTTTAAAGTACTAATATGTAGCATTTAGGGGTAAATAAGGTTCTTTTGTACCTTATGGTATCACCCCAGTGACAGCTTTGTACCTTTTTTCTAAGAGTGTAATTTGTAGATACATGATCTGAACGTGAAAAATCTGAATAGTATTTTTTTCTATAACGTGAAGTGAAGAAAATACCATTAGCAGGTGTTTTAAGAGTAGGTTAAGAAAAAACGACATCCGCACACCTTAAAATTGTTTGTTCCTTGCATATTTGGAGCTGATATTTCCTGATGAATGATTGACAGGTTGCGAGCAAAGGTCAGCAGAGCTCCCTGGAGATCCTCCAAGATTGTTCTGTTAACGACACGCAGAAACAAACGAGCTTACTAATGATCCCCCAGAACCATCATCAGAGAAAAACAAAAAAACAATCACCTTGTTTGGCTGTGGGGATTGCTTCAGTCCAAAAGAACTTAAATAAAAATTGCCCATCCATAAAAAAAAGTGTCTCACACGGCTCCGGGGGGTGAACAAAGGCCTTCTGTAGCAAATCGATGCGTTTTTGTAAGAAAAATATCCATATTCAAAACGTAATAATCACTTGAATCTAGCTTGCGCTCACTGTTGTAAACAGAAGCAGTTCCGGGGGAATGACGTACCTCATACGTCATGCTCCCGGAACTGCTTCTGTGTTCAACTGTTGGCGCAAGCGTATGTGGAAAATAATGTGCTTTTTGAACCTTAAACCGTATAAACACATTTCATTACACCAAATAATGTTCTTTTTAGCAGCATCATATGACCCCTTTAAAGTGATTATTACGTTTTGAATATGGATATTTTTCTTACAAAAACGCATTGATTCGCTACAGAAAGCTTTTGTTCACCCCCCGGAGCTGTGTGAGACACTTTTTTTTATGGATGGGCGATTTTTATTTAAGTTCTTTTGGACTGAAGCAATGCAACACCCGCTGAGTGGCATTAAACAATTTTTAATATAACTCCGACTGGATTCATCTGAAAGAAGAAAGTCATATACACCTAGGATGCCTCGGGGGTGAGTAAAACGCAGCCTAATTTTAATTTTTGGGTGAACTAACCCTTTAATGCAGTTTTTACAGAAATTGAAAAAAATAATGAGAAAATCTCACAAATAACCAAGCCAAAAACAACATCAACAGTAATGTGCGAACAAAAGCATTACAGTGTTCAATCTGTCTTGACAGTGACCAAGAACCCCAATGTCTGAAGAAAAGACACTCCAGCCTGACCTCCTGTCTGACACCACTACATAGTAGGGGTGTTGTAAGGTCAGGGGGCAAGGCCTTAAAAGGGGAATTAGTTTATTGACACAATAAGACCTGACAGTTTATTAGATAGCCTTTTGGCACATTAGCCCCTGGTCATTCTCTCATCTGTACAGCTCTTAAGGGGAACCTATAGGAGTGTCCTATAACATCTCAATAAGAGCCCCGAACCAGTAGATTGAACCCTCACACTATCTATATCTAAGGTGAGAACAGTGTTACGGGCTCTGACAGAACAGTGCCACATGTCAGACAGATCCCATCTCACTCTCAACAGCTTCTTAACATGGCAGGTTCTGTTTTCATAGAGCTGTAAAACACACCACTGACATTTAAGGGTCAATTTGTTTCTGAGAGAGCTTGTTTGATCAAAGATAGATAGCAGAATGCTTCCATTGTTCCTGGAGCTCAAATGGTAGAGCATGGTGCTAGCAATACAAAGGTTGTGGGTTCGATTCCCAGGAAACACAGCTGATAAAAACGTATACCTTGCACTATAAGTTGCTTAGGAAAAAAATGACAAATGCATAAATGTTACCATTATATTATGCTTTTAAAGGGGTCATCGGATGCTCATTTTCCACAAGTTGATATGATTCTTTAGGGTCTTAATGAAAAGTCTATTACATACTTTGGTTAAAATTTCTCAATGGTAGTGTAAAAAACACCTTTTTTACCCTGTCAAAATCAGTTCTGTTTTCAGCAAGCCATTCTAGTCCATGTTGCTTTAAATGCTAATGAGCTCTGCTCACCCCACCCCTCTCTTCTATGGGGTGACGAGCAGACTGTAAAGATTCATAAAGATTCATAAAAAACCCTTATACTCACTTCTGCTGATGAAGCTGGATCTTTCCACGAATGATTCGTGCGAATATAGACGCATTTAGGCAGATCGGGGATCGGCACATTTCTTTCAAAAACTAAAGTAACGTTAATCCTCTGTGTCTTCAGTAGCTCAGATGTTGGGAGTAAATGACGACTGCTATATTCATTATTACATCCAACAACAAAACACCTTAATCGGAGACGTTCTTGTCTTCCCCTGCACCGAAGTCGACACAATGGCGGACAGCTCACAGCTCACTCAGGGCAGGTCTTAAGGTAAGACGCTAGTGTCAATCAACGATCGTGGGAGGGGCCTTTGCAGAACTACATCATTCTGACAGGAATCTCAGAACGGCCTGATTTGAGAAAGGGGATTTTAAAATAGGGATTTAAAAAAAAAAACAGTGGGTGGATTTTTATCATTATAGGATGGATGTGTACACACACTTCCAACACACATTTATGTTCAAAGTACGTGTAAAGTAAATTTAGCATCCGATGACCCCTTTAAAAGCGCTATCTAGCCCAGCATACTGCCTAATGTCATACCTATCAATTTAGCTGATATGTTATCTATATTCATATTCAAATGTACATTAATAAATGACTACTATATGCTGCTCCATATCTTTAAAGCAAAACATTATTAAAAATAAATAAAATATATGAAAATAAAATACATTTAACATTTATAATATAAAATATTACATTTATCTTATCTGAAACACAGTAAAACAGTATTTTGAAATATTATTCCAAATTAAAATAATTGTTTTTAATATATTTTAAAATGTTATTTGTTCCTGTGGTGACAAATCTGAATTTTCAGCAGCAATTACTCCAGTCTTCAGCATCACATGATCCTTAAACATGATTTGGTTCTCGAAAAACATTTCTTATTATTATCAATGTTGATAAGAGTTGTGCTGATTACAATTTCGGTAGAAACTGCGAAACCTTTTTTCAGGATTCTTCGATGAATACAAATTCAGAAGAACATTAGGTGAAATAACATTTTTTGTTACAATGTAATAGGCTTCACTGGCACTGATCATTTTAATGCGTCCTTACTGACTACAAGTATTCTTACTAGGCTTGCCGCGATAGACGGTGACGATAGACGGTGATGACGGTGATACCGGTGTTACGTCACTTGCCCACCGCGTCACCGACACCCACCGTTGTTTTGATTTTTTTATAGTAATAAAAATAATTTAGTTCAGTAAAAGAACAGACACTACAGTTAAATATCTTATCTGAAACACAGTAAAACAGTATTTTGAAATATTATTCCAAATTAAAATAATTGTTTTTAATATATTTTAAAATGTTATTTGTTCCTGTGGTGACAAATCTGAATTTTCAGCAGCAATTACTCCAGTCTTCAGCATCACATGATCCTTAAACATGATTTGGTTCTCGAAAAACATTTCTTATTATTATCAATGTTGATAAGAGTTGTGCTGATTACAATTTCGGTAGAAACTGCGAAACCTTTTTTCAGGATTCTTCGATGAATACAAATTCAGAAGAACATTAGGTGAAATAAAAATTTTTGTAACAATGTAATAGGCTTCACTGGCACTGATCATTTTAATGCATCCTTACTGACTACAAGTATTCTTACTAGGCTTGCCGATAAAAATCATTTAGTTCAGTAAAAGAACAGACACTACAGTTAAAAACTGAATGCGGCTACTCAATGCAGCGTGCCGAACGACAGTCGCATCACAGATCAGATTTAATTTCTCCAGTGAGGACAGTGAGTCGAGCTGACTGACAAGATTTTGCCGTTTATCTAAGGTGATTTTGGAAGTTATTTTTAAGCATTTGTTTCTTATTTAATTGGTTCCACATTGTTTACTGATTTTTACTTTATTTAAACTCATTTATTTATTTTATTTGACATTCGTTTTGCTAATAAACGTTCTACGTTTCTTATTTATTTGGTTATATATTATACATGTTTACTTATTTCCAGTTTTGTATACCTATTAAACTTTTTGCAAGTTATTTGTTATTTTAATTAGGCATAGCTTGCCCTATAGCATGGTGTATTTTTGTTTGCTTTGTTAATAAAAGTTCTATGTTTTATATATATGCTAAAGTGAGTTTGACGTTGTATTTTGTTGCTGCATTCAAGCAATTGACGCCGAACTGCCGCTAATTGAAAAGTGAAAGTAAAATGCGTACGGCGCTTTTAAGCTATTTAAAAGCGAAGGAAAGCGAGGAAAAGAGGGAAAATTCAAACGAACTAAAAACGAACAATTGCTTTACTCCGAATTGCCGCTACTTGAAAGTGAAAGTAAAATGGGCACACCGCTTTTACAAGCTATTTAAAAGTGAAGGAAAGTGAGGAAAAGAGGGAATGCCCCGCCCCCGCGGTGATACCGGTATTACCGGTGTTGTCACATGTCGATTAACCGGTGGGAAAATTTCCTCACCGTCACAACCCTAATTCTTACTCTAAATCTTACTGACCCCAAACTTTTGAATGGTAGTGTAAAAATAAAGTGTTTTAAAGTAGTGAACTGGCTCTCTAACCTGCTGCTCAAGGTTGCTGGGATCCAGGAAAGTTACTAGATCTAGGGAGACGTGGCCCATGATGGAGCGCTGCTGACAGGCCTGACCCACACGAGTGCAAATGGAGTGCAGGACGTCAGGGCAGATGGAGGTCTGAGGTACGGTGCAGCCCACCACTTCCAACCCACTGAGCCCACGCAGTTGATCTCCACAGGACAGCATGCTAACATCTCCCCCTGGCTCCACCAGAAGATCCACCGTCAGACATGTCACACTATCCGAAGGCGGGAAGGCTTCTATCACTCCACCTTCGGAAGGAGATGGATACAAAGAAAAAGACTACCAAGGAAGATCTGACAAGTAATTGGTTAGAGGTACTTTGCAAAATTGGTTGAAGCTACCTTCCCTGAGGAAGTGTTCTAGGAAACAGGTCCATGTGGCATAGCAGGATGTGTTGGCCGGATGTGCATATGAAGCCAGAAGATGAGGAACCTCCTCTAAGAACTTGATCATCACTGACTCCTACATCAAAATGACAGATAAATGCAAAGTCAGGCATAATGAAAATCCTCTAAGCTCCATAGAGCGACCTAAATAAAACGAATATCTTGATTTTTAAGCTATAAAGCAAGGCCTGTCTGGGCCTGATTTAAAAAAAACATATAGCACTACATAGTGTCGATACCCTTGATGAAGCAGTAACTACTGAAGTGTGTCTTAATTTGACATGCCTTACAAAAGCACAGAAGGTGGTTGTGTATGGGGGTGGTAGTTGGTGTTGATTGACAGCCCATTGCAACGGCATCACAGTAGTCTAATAGCTTTAACTGAAGGCAATAGTAACTGCCCCTGTCCCCAATAACAACTGACACATGCTGGCAGATAAATACCCATGCAAATTCCTCTATAGGACCACATGGGTTCTGGTATTCTTCCTCCTGCATTAGAAGAGGTTCTTTATACAATCAATAATTAAACAATGTGCACATAGTAAATAGGGTACATAGAGGGGGAGCTCAACATAGGCCTGGGCTTGACAGGGGGAAATTAAAGGATGCATTACAGTGAAAGACAGCTCCCAAGAGAGGCAAAACAGCATTTAAACTTCTATGACTTATAACTAAAGCCAAACGTAAAACTTAAGTGAAGCCTCTGAGCACTGATAATTGCAGTCTGATCATTACAAAATCATTATAATATTTTTTCTCAAAGGATAGTGGCCTACAAATGCACGTTTTAAAAATGTAATTGCAAATAGACTTCATACATACTAATTTTTTGTACTTAAAGAACAAAAGGCAATATTTACCCTTTATTACCCACTGCAATTAAAACATTAGACTGATATATGTGTTCTATAATATTTGTTGTTAAATTTTTTAGCTTAGAGTAATAAAGATAAAACACAATGAACATTACATCAAGCAGATAAATAAAATGAACATGCAAATAGGCAACAGCAATGAGGGGCGCTGCAGAACGGCAAAATTACCACTAAAAGAGTGAATACAGATCTGTAGAAAATGAATGGCATGCTGAAATAACCTCTGTGCTCTCCATTCTGTTAGCAGAGCTTGCCATTGATTAAAAAGGTTGAAGAGATAGAATAAAGGCCCGTACTGGCTTCCATATGGCCCAGAAGCCCTAAGGGTGGAGGCCAGCTCATCAGGCCCCAGCTCCCTTTCCTCTCACTGGGACCCCAGCTGGTGAAGAGCCCCCCATTTAAAGCTCCTTCACTGCCATCACCATAATGGAGCTTGGCTGGGCCTCAACCGCTTACCTCTGTAATTAACAGCACCAATGCCACCACAATTACAGCCCCAGATTCCTCTCTCGGCCTCAGTGTGAATTAGGGACTGAGCTAATAGCTTGGAGGTAGGACATGCGGCCTCCTCTTGCCCCCAGGATAGAAGGCTACAATAAGAGGCTGGAATAAAAAAAGCAAGGTCTGATTTTGCACACAGCCGCGTATGATGATAACCCTGTAATTAGCTTACACAAAGCTCACGGTGTAATGGCAAAACACGGTATTTAAATCAAGGGCCAAATTGTAAGCATATGATGCAGGAGAGGGTTATGAACACGATTACAGGCGGATACAACCGATGTGTTTTTAAAGCACACAACTCATTGTGTGTTGAATACATCACATTTGAATTAGAATACATAAATATGCTACAATTCAAATGACTCATTATTAATTTCCCATGAATTTGAGTAATAAGCACTCTCTAGAAAAATCACGATGATGGCATCAAAGTTTGGCCTTGGTCAGTAATGACAGGCTTGTCATTGAGACAAGGGTGCATTTTGTACAGAATGTGAATATAAAAACCAGGCAAAGCTGAAATTCTAATGAACCAGGCTTGTGACTGAAGTGTAGCTGCATTTGCAAAATAAAAGAAATGGCACATTTCATTTCGCATTTAAAAACAAGCCACTTGATACTTCAGAATTGCTACTGTTGCACAACAGGCACTCACTAATGCAGACTGTGTATTTGAATGGTGTAACTGCACTAAGAACAAATCAGAACTACTTTTGTCAAAAAGATTTATTTTATTTGTTTTAAAATCAAAATCTGTGTCATGTCCCCTGCCTTACCAAAAGCTTTGGTTTTTACAAAATGTTTAGTTATATCACCATTGTAATGTTTTATTAAAGGGGTCATATGATGCTTTTTTAAAGATCATTATTTTGTGTATTTGGTGTAACAGAATATGTTGACATGCTTTAATGTTAAAAAAACACATTATTTTTCAAATACTGTACATTATTGTAGGTCCTCTATGCCCCGCCTCTCTCAAACGCTTCGTTTTCTACAAAGTCCCTCCTTCCGACAAGCGCAAATGTAATTGGGATCTTATCTATGCACAATCAGCTTGTAACACTCCAAAGAGAAAGGAAAACTTGAAATCGCATCATATGACCCCTTTAAACATTATGGTATTTTAGAACTGAAATAGTTCCACTTAAATTCAATTTCATGTAAAAAAATAAAATAAAAATGCATATGATGCAAATAAATTATACTGATTAGAGTAGAAAAAGATACACTAGTAAATATTATAAATGTCATAAATAATAAGTAAATATTACAAATGTTTGAAATAGTAAATATTTTAATAAATTATTTAGATTTTTTTCATTTGTTTATATAAAAGCCAATTATTTAATTCTGCAAACATTTTGCATTTATAATATCATGAGTCATATTTTTTCTGATAAATTATGAGAAAAATCCATTAAAATAAGTTTTCATTAAAATAATCTGTTTCAGGTTTATACAGCCAATGAGTTAAAAAAGATACACTAGTAAATAATATAAATACATGTTATAAATAATAAGTAAATATTACAAATAGAAAATGTTTTAATAGTATTTTTAATACTTTATTTAGATTTTTATCATTTATTTATATTAAAGCCAATTATTTAATTCTGCAAACATCGTTATAGTTTGGTCTATAGTTTGGTCCCTGATATCAAAGTGTATATGTGACCCTGGACCACAATACCAGTCATAAGGGTCAATTTATTAAAATTTATATTTATACATCATATGAAAGCTGAATAAACAAGCTTTTAATTGGTGTGTGGTTTGTTAGGATAGGACAATATTTGGTCGAGATATAACTATTTGAAAATCTGGAAACTGAGGGTGCAAAAAAATCTAAATATTGAGAAAATCACCTTTAAAGTTGTCCAAACTAAGTTCTTCGCAATGCATTGTACTAATCAAAACTTAAGTTATGACATGTATACGATAGGCGTGCCTCTCGTATGCTATGCAGCAATAAATAACAGAGGTCGCGTTGCTTGCACGTGCAGCCAGTTAGGCCTTCATGGAACAGGATCTTTACTTAATATTCTAATGATTTTTGGCATAAAAGAAAAATCGATAATTTTGACCCATGCAGTGTATTTTTAGTTATTGCTACAAATATGCCCATGCTACTTATGACTGGTTTTGTGGTCCAGGGTCACATATATTGACAATGTTTATGTTTAGTTTTTAACAATATCAAATATTTAAAAAATTCTAATAAATGATAATATAAAAAGGTCTTCTTTATCTTCTTTGCATTTCTCCTCTTCCCTAGCTTGCTTCCTAATCTAACGGTCTAATAAACTTAGCATTGTATATTACGAATATTGTTGCTCTGTGACAGTTGCTTTTGTTCCTCTTTTGAAAGTGGCTTTGCATTTCTGGATTTCTGCTAAATGAGTAAATGTAAAAGTACAGATCCTTGCGCTGAAACCTAATCAATTGAGGAGCAACCTAATCTGCACAGGGGAGCAAATACAAAGGTCACCTATGTCGCCCTCTACAGGTGAGAAATAAATCAAATTCTTCTATGAAAATTGTTAACAAATTCATGTGCACCACTATATTTCAGAAATCACTTTGAGGGGACATCTACTGTAGGTGTGTGTGTGTGTATGTGGTGCACCATACTGGAAAATACTCCAGTGCTTCTGGCATGAGGATAGTGAAGCGTTTGGAACAGTGGGACTCAGGCGCAGAAGCGTCACCCAGCTCAATGGCTGTCTGCAGGCCCAGCAGGCGAGTGTAGTACTGGAGAACATCCTTGCCCAGGCACACTGGAGACACATAGATGACCTCGACATTCTCATCTATATGCAACACAAACAGTACTGTGTTTGCTTTCATGTGACCGCTGTCAATCTAATTTGATCATGTCATGGTTCACACCCTCACCTCTGATATCACACAGTCGGCCCATCTGGGTATTCTGGAGAACATCAAATCCCCTGAGACTGAGCCGCTGATGTTGGGAATATCCTATTGAACAAATCAAAATGATTTCAAATGAGATTTAAATATTTTAGCAATAAATACATGACTTTATTCCAAGTCAGGAAATCCCAAAAAGACTGCTATAAACTAATCTCTATAATGAAATGATTAAACGACTTTACTATCCACAATGCCATGGGAGAGGAGTTGTGAATGGCAGAGAGGTGACACAACATGACAGATGTAGTATTCGTTTATAATGCACACATTCTTACTATATAGACCATATTTTTCACGTTGCAAAGTCTATTCCTCATCTATTGTAGTATCTAATGCATTGACTGACAGTCTGGAATGCACACAATGAAAGTTAAATCAATGAAAAGTTAAACTGTTAAGTCCATGCCCCCCCCCCCCCCCCCATTTTTTCCTTGAAAACTGTTTTAGTAAAATATAAATAAACAAACAATAAAATGTACTTAAAGCAAATAGGAAGTAAGTGTAAAAGCTTTTATTTTTTGCAGCAAGTCATAAATACAAAAGGCCACTGGCTTGCAGAGGACTATTTCAAATCATTACCTATATCTGCCCTAAAGCTATTCCTGACACATTTAACATTACGTCAGGGGTAAAAGCTCACTTTACACAGAACAATAAATCTGATTATCAGTCAGTTCTAAAGCTCTCATGACCAGATTATTACAAACAGAAAACACAGACTGTCCAAATCATCCAAAATGTTACCTCAGCGAGCAGAACACACTATATATCCTTGTCATATATAACTTTATGTATGTCATAAATAAATATTACCTGCAGGTTAAGTGGGGTGAGTCGGGCTATCCCACGATTCAGTACTCCATTGTCAGAGCTTGCAGAAGCAGCTGAAGGAGGGGGAGTGCGTATGGTCCTGAATGCTGGACTCTCGGTTCCTGATCTTCCAAGAGCCATTTCGTCTCTGCTCACATCCATCTCCAGTTTTGAAGCCCTTTCTGACTCATCTATAATCATATATAAGAAGTACATACTACAGTCAAAGACTGTACAATATACATAACTGATATAAGAAAACAATATATAAATATATGTAATATTTGTCCAGTTATTTGATTGACATTTTATATCAGAAGTGCAGTCTTTTAGACTGCATTAATGATTATGATATTGATTTATATTTTAAAAAGTACTAAATACAGTATATACCTGACACTTAAAATATCACAGACTGCATACATTATCTGCTGAAAATGAATTGTTAATTATAGCAATACTTGAGGCTTTTTTCCATAGTAATTCAGTTTACTCCCTCTATATGTATGTAGATTGTTTGGATTCAATACACAGCAAAAAGCTGAATTTTTGGATACATGCAAATTGACTTTCTAACTTTAAATGTAGGCCGCAAGTGTGTAATGACATTGTGGAAATAGACTTGACCCGTCTTACTTTGGCCACTGTCCTCTCTCTGGAGCACATGGACAGCTTTGGGCTGTACTGGGGTTTGCACTGAAGAGAGGTCAGCTGCTGAGGATAGCAGCCCTGAAATGCAAAAAAAAATTTAAATTAAAAAACAAGTCTAATTACAATCTGCAAAGAGGATCTTTACACAAAATTACAGAATATTATTCACGAACACAAAAAGAGGGCACAAACAAATTAATTAATTTATGCAAACATATGCATTTACAGTACACTACGGTTTAAAAAGTTTGGGTTCAGCAATTTTTTTTGGGGCAAAAAAATGAATACTTTTTTTCAGCAAAGTAACATTAAGTGATATTCATAAGGTTACAAAATATTTCTATCTATTTCAAATGTGGTTCCTTTCTATTCATCAAAGAATCACGCAAAGATATATGTCACAATTTCCACAAAAATATTAAGCAGCACAACTGTTTTAACACTGAAAATAATAAGAAATATCTCTTGAGCACCAAATCAGAATATTCAAATGATTTTTGAAGGATCATGTGACACTGAAGACTGGATTAATGACTGCTGAAAATTGCCATTACAGGAATAAATAATTAAAATATATTAAAATAGAAGACCGTTATTTTACATTGTAATACTATTTCACATTGCTACTGTTTTTACTTTATTTTTGATCAAATAAATTCAGCCTGGGTGTACATTCAACAATCTTATAGACTCAAAACAGTAGCGTATATAATGCATAAAGAAATACTGTATCAGTTGTAAAAAAGAGGCTTATACCTGCATTCATGTCTCTACATTCGGGTGGTGGTTTGGGGTGTAGGTGTTTAGGCAGACCGTCACGTGCTGCAGTAAAACTCGAAGTGTAGCCAGTGACCAATCTTTGAGTCCCAACCTAGAAAAACCAAGGCAAACAAATGTTATGTTTTCATTACATAAATGCACGCTATACTCTTTCTAACCACTATGGTTCAACTAAGCCGCAATATAGTTATTTTAAAGAGCTGCTTCACCCAGAATTAAAATGTTGTCATTTATTTCACTGTACTTTATACTTTTAATTCATAATTTTAGATTTACATTGACTGCAGCATTGAAATCTCATTTGAGTGATTTAAATATGTGCATATTCAAGGTCACCATTCACTTTCATCAACAGGGAAAATGTTATTTTCGTTTTAGGGAGAACTATCCCTTTAAGTAATTTGCCTTTCTTAAAAAGGCAATAAAACATTGTCCAAACATGGAGGAATTACTGAGCCCCGAATGATAGCTCTGTGGTCAAAGGTCAGAGGTATTGAAAGTGACAGAACAAAGGGTATTAACCTACTGCCCCATCTCACTGGACCAAAAAGACCTGCCTGCAGGCTCTAAAGCCACCATTTACCCTGTACTAGAAGAAGAGAGAGAGGGAAAATACTTAGCTCAATAACTTGCTCACGGAGAATGTTATTAGCTTCGGGTCACCGATCAGATTTTCCCCTCCAAACAAAACTTTGTTGTAAAAGGCTGTGAGACGACTATCCATTAATCAGGCTGGTGGCAGCTTGTAGATGTCAAGAAATATGGTTTCTCTTTCTCTCGGTTCCGTTGGCTGTACGAACCACAAGTGCATGCACATTTGCGAGAGAGAGCGCAGTGATGTTGTGTGATTACAACCAACAGATTTTCCGCATTCATTAAAACAAAGCTGGAGCTAAAATACAGGCAGTTAATGACATTGTAAACTGGCCAATAAGCCCTCTTCCCTGAAGCAATCAATCACATGCTGGCAATGCTTTCTGGATACTTTGAGCACGGCTTGGTCTCGCACCTTCTCTCAAGTGAACAGCTGCTTGAAATCTTCTAGAATTAAATTCCATCAGAGCAATGCCTAAAATGCTCGTACCACCTCATTATCATATAATAGTTCATAAATTGAATGAAAGTCGTGCTCCACATTCCACAATAAAAAGGATGTACTGCAATAATTATGATTTTCATGGTAGTCATATAGCGACTAATATAATTCATCATTAATTTTTACAATCATTTTGATAAAAACAAGCACCAAAACTCACTCCCAAAGACAAAAAGCCCAATAAAAACATGTTATCTACAGAAAATTTATAGCCGATTAAAAGCAAGATGGCTAAATCACAAGTTAAACCTTTTTGGTGCACAAAAACGCAACGAGCAGGATGTGCATTAATCATAGCAAACAAAAGAGCATCAAAGAACAAGGTCGGTCATTTCCTCAGTGCATATAAACATATAATGGAGAGCACACTGCAAGTTTGTCAAGTTGTGGGCACATGCCAGACAGAGCCCTTCTGTACTCTCCTCCTCATCCTGCTGTTCCAGATTCTCCCCCTGATGTTCTCTGGCCTGTCTGTTGTCACACCACTGAGCTCCCTGACAAACCACGAGCACCGGCCAGGTGTTTGGAGAGGTTTGGAGGCTCGCAGCTGTTTAAGTGGTACAAGGGGACATTTAAAAGAAAAAAAACAGTGGGAGCTCCTTTGGAGACTCAGCGGAGAACTAGCCGACAGCACAGAGGTATTGACGCAGCAGGCAGAGCGCCAGCGAGTGCCAGTTGGGTAAGCCACGGCTGTCTTATTGGCATGCGGGAACAGGTACCAGTGCCTGTCCTGAGACAGCTGTAAAGCAGCAGCCCATACAACTGCAATCAGGCGGTGGCCGTCCTCCGAAGAATGCTGATGTGCCGCAATCTGCGTCTGTCTGCTTTCGGCAGCCAAGTCTCATACCTTCTTCTCAACAACATGACAGCCTCCTCACGAGTGACAGGCAGAGGATGCAGGAGATAGAGGAATAACCGCAGCGGAAAGCAGAAGGGGGGGAAACAGAGCACCAAAACAAATGGTGACCTTTAGAAAGATTAATTTGTTTACCAACAGACAGATTTAGCTGTCACTGCCAAACCAGGTGACCTTCAAATCCGCAATCTCCTGTTTGAAAGCAAAGTGACTGGAGTCATCTATTATTACACGCCAGTCACGTAATTTCTTTTCATGAGGTTCATGTGACAGACGCTGGCGTTAAGGCAATAGTCAGAGCTGGCCACCATATAATCAACACTATCAATAAGCCTTAATCATAAACACTGCTGGATTCTAACGCAGAGCCACACATGTAAAATAAAAAAAACAAGTACACTATAGTATTAGAGGGACAATTCACACACACAAAAAAGTACAATTCTATCATTATTTACTCACACTCATGTCATTCCAAACCTGTGTGACTGTATTTCTTCTGTGGAACCCAACAGAAGATATTTTGAGAAATGTCTCATACAATCGTTTGGTAACCAACATTCTTCAAAATATTTTCTTTGTGTTCTGCAGAAGAAAAAAGTCATACAAGTTTGGATGGAACAACATGAGTTGTGAGTACATGACAAAATAATAATAGAAAGAAATAAAATAATATCTTTCAGCAACTCACACTGGCCCCAGTTCTCTTGTGCAGGTGAGGAAGCTGAATCCCATAATTTTGTTGCACAATCTCCTTGTTCTTTGGGTGAAAAGGGTTATTTAGCAGACGCATGATAAATGCTGACTTGTGCTGTTGGGGAGATAGAACCACAGATTACAGAATAAAAACTTTTTTGACTGAACAAATGTTATGAATATGTGTAAAGATGGAAACCTTTTCCCCTGGTGATGGACCAGGAATCTGGCATCTCAGAGCACGTGCATTTGGTATCGTCTCATATGGTGGCTGCCTACAAAAATGTTATAAAAATTTGTTAGAGGTAATGTGATTTTACATAAACCAATTGACAGAGTTGATTTTTTATACCATTTAACAAGCTTGGAGGGGACAGGCTTCTTTTCAGGCTCTTCAATACAGGGTAGAGTCAAAAACTGATTACTAATGGTTTTCAGATGATCTTCTGCATGCCTCTGTAATAAAAAAATATTTACAGGCATTATTCTTCCATGCTCCACATTTCATATATTTCCACTCCATGAATCTTACAAGTCAGGGACTGCAAGACGAGACGACTTATTTAGATGAATAAGATGTAGTAAGATAATTAATTATATGATAATTAGTTATATATATACATATATAAGAAATGATTTTACTTTTATATAAAAAAAACAGATGTTAAAAAATACAGGCCTACAAAACTTCGAAAAAATAAGAAGGAAAATAGATTTTGCAATTGTTTACAGAGTTGATTTTTTATACCATTTAACAAGCTTGGAGGGGACAGGCTTCTTTTCAGGCTCTTCAATACAGGGTAGAGTCAAAAACTGATTACTAATGGTTTTCAGATGATCTTCTGCATGCCTCTGTAATAAAAAAATATTTACAGGCATTATTCTTCCATGCTCCACATTTCATATATTTCCACTCCATGAATCTTACAAGTCAGGGACTGCAAGACGAGACGACTTATTTAGATGAATAAGATGTAGTAAGATAATTAATTATATGATAATTAGTTATATATATACATATATATATAAGAAATGATTTTACTTTTATATAAAAAAAACAGATGTTAAAAAATACAGGCCTACAAAACTTCGAAAAAATAAGAAGGAAAATAGATTTAGCAATTGTTTAAACTCTCCCACATTTAAAAATGTGGTATTTGTATGTTATCGTGTATTTAATTGATGCAGACCTCAATTATCCAGAACTATTCGAGTCAAGTTGTCATAAAGTTGGCTTTATATAACGTTACCCTTATTCCATGTTCCGTCCTGCTGATTGCTGCATCCAAAGCTTGAATGTCCAAAACTTCTCCATTCTCTTGCACAGTCAATCGAACAAGATTCTTTTTTAGTTGTCTTAAATCATCCTGCACCTAAGACACAATAAAAATCACAAGAAATTTGTTTTACAAACGTAATTATATCATATTCAGTTATATAATGCAACTAGCACACTTCAACGGTTGCTGTCAAGCCTTCTTTTATATCATTTTGTACTTGAGCACATTACCTGTACTAAAATATGCCCAACGTCGTCCTTATTTTTGAGGACGTCGCCCATTTTTCTACTAAATAATTCAGGTCACATTTAAGCTTTTTTTCTAATTGTGTCTTCACGCTTCCTTCCAGGTTTTATATTTTTCCAAACAAAGGTCTGGCTGTAACTATGGCAACACGACGCGTATGGCAGTACAGTCTCCGTACGTAAATATAGTTAGGCCAGTATTATTTGTTATTATTACCATTTTGTTCAGGGTGTATCACTGACTGCCTCGCGCTATTTCTATAGCTATTCATTGGAAAGCTGTTTTGCTTTAACTAGTTTAATTAAACTTTACATTTTCTAACACACGGGCGCAGAAACGGAAGCAGTTGAGGTTAGAGGTGAAAGGTTTCCTGGAGGTGGTTGACAGCTGTTGCTAACGTGCTAACTTTCATTAGGAGCTGTTTTTAAGTGTCCAAAAGCTTAAAATGGCAGATGATCAAGGAGACGAAGTACCTACCCTGCCTTGTATCTTAGTTACAAGTTGTGATTCCAGCTTTAAAGAAGGGGAGCTCATTAGACGTGAGTAAAAAGGGGAAATCTATTCTACGCTCGTTAGCCTTGATGCTATGCTAACGTTAGCTGTCAACAAGAAACATTCATCGTGCTGTCTCTTAAATCCAGATCAAAATGTGTCGATCGCGATAACGGTTTCATTGTTAATCGTATAAAATATACTGTGCGTTAATGTATTGTGTAACGTTTGCATAAAAGCAACAACGTGTGTATATATATATATATAATTTTTTTGTAGAGATTGCCCAACTGTCATCTTACAATTCTTCATCTGACTTTTTGTTGATTTCATGAAACATGCAGTGTTTCGTAAACGTTACAGTTTTCACGTTTGTCTGTTATATAGGTTTTCTAATCACAGCAATCTTAGATTATTTATAAAACATGATACAACTGGACAATAAATGTGAATCACTAACTTACTGGTGCTGTTATTGATGCAGGGCTACAGTACATAACACTATTTAAAGCCTGATACATTCGGTACATCAATTTTTAATCCTTATGCCTAAGTTAGTGCTTTACTAAAACATTATATAAAAATGTTGTAATTCTTTACATCTAGTGATTCTTTGTGTCCAGCAGGCGGCAGTGTTGAGCTTCAGTTAATTTACACATTATGTCTTACTTTAGAGACTGTTTTCACTGCTAGTGTTTTTTAATGATATCAAACACACACTTGGCCAATAACAGTTTTGAATGTTTTATTTCAGAGATCTTGGGCTCAGAATCACTACCTCAAGCTACCAAGATAGAGGAAAGAGTTTCTTGGTATCCATGGACAATCAACAACAAGTACTACACGGCAAACGTCAGCTTATGTGTTGTTTCAAGTCCATTCGACATGAATACAGAGGTTGCCAGGTCTATGCAAGCGTTCATCGTTTACTTTGACAGCAAAACTGTGAGTTGTCGACATTATGATCATTTTACAAATTCACCATTAAGTGCATGTGCCTTGCTTCAACTGTTTTTGTGTTTCAGAAAAACGGCCTCAACAGTGTCAACTCCTGGTTATCAGTAGTGGAGGATTTGGCTCCAGAAGTGCTGATCCTAGTGTGTGATCATGCGCGTGACAGTGGTGTGTGTTTGGTACTACTTATTCAGTGGTTTGGATGCAACATATGCAGTTTTTTGCTAAGTTTGGTGTAAATATGCTATTGCAGGTGTTAGCAAACAGGAGGCCCAGCAGTGGTGTCTGGCTCACGCATTTGAATTAGTAGAGCTCAACCCTCAAGATCTACCTGATGAAGATGGTGAAAGACGAAACAAAGTTTAGTCACGATTATGCACGTGAATCATTTTGTTTACAGTCTTTGTGTACCCCATAGATGACTTCCCAGAGTCCACTGGAGTAAAAAGAATCGTTCAGGCCCTCAATGCCAACGTGTGGTCCAGCGTTGAGATGAAAGATGGTAAAATTGTACTGCCCTAATGTGAAATATACAATGGCATCTACAACAAATCATATTCATATTCAATTAGCTTTCCCTTTAATTATCATTTATTCTTCTCAGAACACAGTCAGGGATTTGGGCTAATGAGCAGCCTGGTGGCCTCTCATCACAACAACCCACGACCCAGTCAAGAGACACTGGTTAGCCTTTTCTAAGTGTGCTGCTTTTTAATGTATGTAGATGAACATTATTTCGAGTATTTTAGGTAATTAAGAGTCTTGAGGTTATCTTGTTGTAACAGACTATGTTTCTTGTTATTAGTCCTCTCATTCCCCATCCAACAGTACAGATGAAGGCACTGAGAGCCAGAGAGCAGAGAATAACCAGAATAATGCAGTAGATACAGCAGTCGGTAAGTGCTTTTGTTAAGGGCAATATATTTATACTCATTTTGGAGGTAAATTAATGATATGATAAAATAGGATATTAGAATGTAAAGTACAAATGGAATAAGCATATTGTTTAAATACTTACTTGAAAGTATTTGTGTGCATTGTTTAATTAAATATTTGCTAATCTGTCACAGATCCCATGATTGACATAGACATACAAGAGTTGGCTAATCTAACAGCTGGAGATGCAGATGTGGAGAATTTTGAGCGACTTTTTACAAAATTGAAAGAGATGAAAGGTATACACACACACACGTGTATATATATATATATATATATATATACTACTGTTCAAATGTTTGGGGTCAGTAGTTTTTTTTTTTATGTCTTGGTTAGAGGTTTCTTATGTTCACCAAGAATACAGTAAAAACAGGAATATTATGAAATATTTTTACAGTATAACCTTTAACTGTTCTTTATTTTAGAATGTAATTCATTCCTGTAATGACAGCTGAATTTGTTATCACTGTTAAAAGTTGTGCTGCTTAATGTTTTTGTGGAAACTGATATACTTTTTATTTTCAGGATTTTTATTGTGACAATTTAATGTGTCCTTGTTGAAGAACATTTTTTTTTTTTTATAATTTACCAACATTCAAAAGTGAAGACCTGTTTTTACAAATAATGTTCATTATATTCTTAAAACGTTTTTTATTTGTAGACAAGGCCTCTTCGTTGCCACATGACCAGAGGAAAGTCCATGCAGAAAAGGTAATATACTTTTAATATGATCTAATTAATACTAATGCTAATAGTTTTAAAATCTGAATGTTGCGTTAACAATTGAATTGCCCTCAATCAGGTTGCTAAAGCATTCTGGATGGCTATTGGTGGAGACCAAGATGAGATTGACGGCTTGTCATCAGGAGAGGAGAGTTAAGGCCCCAGCTTCCACTGTTGCTACTCAGCCCACCCTTTGAACCCCCAGTCATCCCAAATCTGCCCAGCCCAGTCCTGTCCCGCCCAAGAAACTTGGAAGAATGCAGGCAAAAAACAGCAATGGAGAAGTTCATGATACTGCTGTTACTATAATGTCAGTATCCAGCACCTCAATCAGGCAGTACAGAGTGATTATGGGCATTTGGCTTCAAACATTGTAATCGCAGAGCCATGGGATGGGTTGCAGGGGGCAAGATTGTTATCTTGCCTGTTCTCTGGTGGTGTCAGTGCAAGTCTGTAGCCACATACAAGGATGAAGCCTATGGTTCTGTCAAAGGAGTTGTAAATCAAATGATGGATGAGCTGACAAAAGTGGATTGTTTTTAAACTTATTTTTCTAATGTAAGTCACAATTATGGACTATGCTTGTGCATGTCATTAGCTCTTCATCAATTAAAAGAATGATCTGTCGAATCAGTTTTGATGTTCTTTTGGAAATACATTTGTCAAATACATTTGACATGATGAAATCCTTTTTTACATACTGTAAGAAAAAGTCTGAAACGATGCTCTTAAAGCATTTTATTATTCAAACGTACATAAAAGTCTTTATGACAGTGAATGCAAGAGAAGTAAACATGAGTGTACGTTACAGAAAAGCAAAAAGGGAAATTCAGGGCAAACAATAACTAAGCACCAGTTTCAGAATATGAATGAAATGACTGGACACTATAAGACAAAGAATGTTGTATTTGCTTCCAAATCAAGAGTTCAAGAAAATAAACAGGATATAAGCAATATTCCAGCAAAAAGGGCAAATCTAAATAATATCAACAGTCCACTGTGTGCTTTGGCCCTGTTGAGTCACAGATAAAGAGCCGGCAAGATTAATAGCAAAAAACATAGCTTGGGGGAATCAAACACAAGCATCAGTTGTTCAATGAAACATCAATTTGATTTAAAAAATCAAACAGAGATTGTCAGAATTGTCCTGATCAGTGATTCAGAGCTTATTCCTTGAGACCAGACATCTTCCAATAAAATGCTTTTGGACTGCTGATGTATGCTGTTAAAAGCCAGACCATGCATTGAGTTAGTTGTTGAATGTCAGTACTAAACAAATCAAGGGATTTGAATAACCTGATGAGCAAAGTGTCCACATAAAAAAATCTAGCCATTTACACTATTCTCTTGTGAAATCAATTTTTACATGAAATTGCATGCATTCCAAGAGCTGCCAGCAGTACTTGCCTTCCACTTTTCTGTGAAAAATAAAAACTCAAAATAGTGGCAATTTTTTACCCACTCAGAAATCACTGACGGTAAAATAGTGAAATATGTAGAGACATGTAATGGTGTTAGTTGTTACTTGAGTTTTGAGCTCAATGGATTGACAGTCCTGAGTTTCAGACATCCCTTTGGTGCGCCAATCATACACAGAACAGAATCAATGAAAGGACAATGAAATCAAGTGATTGCTGAAAAGAAAATAAAGTGATGACTAATGGTGAGTTCCCATTAAATGTTCTGTGAATTTTCTCAGGCAAAATCCAGTCATTTCGATAGGAGTCTGTGCAATCACGTGAAAGACTGATGCTAAATATATCACAACATTGTTGACAACAGACTAAAAATCTGTGAAATTTTGCTAATGTGACCATTTTTTTATATCTGTGTGTAACATGACAAGTGTCTTAATTACAATACCCTATGGCAGCAGTAAAAATATACTTTCGCAATCTCCATTCAGTTTATAATGCAAAAATACTTTAAAATGTATTTGCTGAGCATAATTCAAACATTAACCATCAAGTTCAAGAAATAAAATGGCACTATTAGCTACTAGCATTTGTCACTGACAAATTTCCAATGCTATTTTCTTGTTCA